CTGAGTTCGTGTATGAACAAGAGACCCATCTCACCGTTTCCAAAACCTCCGTCTTCTTCGCCGGCGACGGCTTCATTGTCTATGGCTGCAAAGGCGAGGTCGTCCTCCGAGTCGACTCGTATGCCCAGGATGCGCGTGACAGCTGTGAACTCGTTCTCATGGACCCCAACGGCCGCTGCCTCCTCACTGTGCGCCGCAAGGTATGAGAAAATATTATGGACGAGTTGACTCACTGAGTGAACTCAGTGAATTATAGATTCATTACGTGCCAATCAAATAATGGGTTTTTTGCTTTATTGCCGTTTTAACGTAATAATTTTCAGTGACTCGTCCATGAACACGGTTTCCTAACTCAGTGACCTAAACCTGTTTAATTTACAGCGACCGAGTCTGCATCAACGGTGGGAAGGGTTTGTGGGGGAGCGAACGGATGGCCAGAAGCACATCTTCAGCGTGCGGAGATCTTCCATGATCGGGCGGTCCACCGTGACCGTTGAGGTTTTGGGAGACCCCGGCGAGGAGTACCAGATCGAGGGCTCATTCTTGCAGCGGTCCTGCACGATCTTCGACGCGGAGAAGAAATTAGTGGCTGAGATTAAACGCAAAGTTGACGCCTCCACGCACACGATGCTCGGGAAGGACGTCTTCGCTCTCTGCGTCAAGCCCGGCTTCGACGCCGCGTTTGCTATGGGATTGGTGCTCGTTCTCGATCAGATCAACGCTGATGATCAGATCAACGTTGATGATTATGGTGATGATGGGGTTGTGGTGGACCCCACCGCAGACGATTAGAAAAGGAAATGTCGATTCGACACTTTGGAATGTATTTCAGGACATGGGACCCCACTTTCTTGTTTTCGAGTGATGGCCTTGCTTGTATTTTTCTTCTACTTTAATAATTTAACAAGAGATTTATCTCTAGGCAAGCAAAAAACAATAAAAAAAATTACCTCAAGTGGGTCAAATTGATCTACGCGGTTGACTTAACCCATTTAAATAAGAGAATACGAATCGTTAATCAAGTATGGGCAAAGTCAACTTAACCTTAATTTAAAGTAAAATCCATGATAAGCAGGATAAAGCACTGTTGTTCTCCATCTTATTTTCCTATCTACTTTATTTTATCACCTAATCAAATTCGAAAGAATAAGAATATTATTTTCCCACCCACGATTATTCCCATGCTACCCTCTCAAATAATTCAATCATGCTCTTACTTCCCATCCCACACTTATCCCACCTAGCCGCCTATCTTTTTTGTTCGATCCCTATTTTAAATTAGGGAATTGATGACCCGACTTAGATTGGATTGGAGTTGAATACAAGTCAATTGTTATGAGTTCTACCTAAAAGCCCCAATTGTTATGAGTCACACCCTTTTTATATGGGTCTTGTAAGACACCTATATGTTGTACTGTTGTCCAATTTAATAAGTCGAGTCTCAACACACCAAACAACGGCCACGACTCTTGTTCATTTTAATTGAAATAATGAGTGCTACTATTTCCCCCCTACCTTATCTTCAAAATTTTAAAGATAAATTTACCCCTTTGTAAAATTACTTCTAAGGGAAGAAAACCTCAACTCACATACGGACTATAATAATGTTATGACATCTGAAGCAATATGTCATTAATAAATATTTTTATTAACTTTATGAATAAATTTTCAACGGCTCCCATTTACTCACTCTCCTCCCAATTAATTGGCAAACCCTTTACCCCTCTTCTTCTTCCTCTCCTTTTCGACCCTCTCTTCACCATATTATTAGCCAATTGTTGAAGAAACATTTTGCAGCTGGCTATAAATTAATGGAGCAGATTGGTAATAGCAATCTTTTTATTCAAATTTGTATATTATGATGTGAGTTGAAACTCGAAATCAAAGATTACAAATAAAATAAAATAATTATTAAAAAAAAACCCGGATTGATTCCCCTCTAAGGTTGATACAAGTATGCTTGTACTCAAAGAGAAAAAAGTACGTAAAGGAATTTAGAGGTGGATTTTCAGTTAAAATGATACATATGGTTGGTTTCTCAAAATTTCTCAATCGACAGTATGGTAGGTGAAAAGATAAGATACGTGGGGAAATAGAACATAAATGGAAATAACAGCACTCGAAATAATTCAGTTTGACCCACCAATCGCGAAATTGGCATGCAAGTTCTTTCCTATATTTTGTCCCACTAAAAAACATAAACCATGAATCAAGGGAGATATTTTGGGAATCAAATCCAAAGCTGAAGGGAAGATGTTTAATTATTTCAACAGAAGATATCTGCAAAAAAATAAAATTGGTGATATGGGAAAAATGAGCCTTAAAGTCCTTGGTCAAGCTGCTGTATGGCCCCATATTAGAGGTGCTAATTCCATGTCCTTGCCATATAAGCAAATACAACGTTTAACTGTGCATGTATATTAGGTCGAATTTCTCTGTATATATGACGCAGGGCAGGCAAATTATCATTTTTTCTTTCACTCGTTTCAACTTCCAAGCTCTCGCCCATGTCGCTTCTTGTTATTTTGATAATAAAAAATTGTACAACATGAAATTGGGAGAAGAAAAATACTGAAAATTACAGACAATAGTAAAATAAAAGGAGATTCATTATTATACCCAATATAGGGGCCTAAATTATTATTATTTTAAAAAAAAACCTTATATGAAATGGACTTTAGAAACACACCTAAAACCCATTTACAACATAACAAAGAGGCTTTTAACTTCTTATAAATTACAAAACTGTCATCGATTTCTTAAAATAAGGCCAAGCCCAAAACCTCATAAATAAACCAAAACACTCAATAGAGCATCAAAGTAATTTAATAATTAAAATTAAATTCAATACGACAAACTATCATTTTTTGGGTTTGTTTGTAGAAATTAAATGGTGTAATGTTTATTTATATCATTAGTGTTAATAATGAGTATATGACTAATTAATATCTCTAAAATAAACTGCTGAAAATTAATATTATTGTATAAAGGAATATTATTTAACTATGCTTTTCGAGAGCACATAAAAGGAAATATTCATGCCCAAAATAAAGAAATATATAATGGTACAATGCTTCTGAAAAAAAAAAAAATATATATATATGGATGATCCAGCTGGGTTAGTCCAAAATGGCGAACTATCTTAATCATAGCCCTCTCTCTCTCTCTCTCTCTCTCTCTCCTGTTCATCAATAAATGTCGTACATCTCGATTTAAAAACCAAGAGAAATATATTAGTAGCATACTTCTCAAAGATATGGGTGATCCGAATAGGATGGTCCAAAATCGTAGCTCGCCTCTTTGGAAGAAGAAAAAATATTCATGCGCAAAAAGAAGAAGTGTTTTTTGTTTATATTTACTTGTGAATAATACAAATAATACACAATTTTATATAACGTGCTTCCGTAAAATATGCCTCATTAAATAGTACGGGCGTTGATTATTTTACTCGTGGTTAAATAGTATTTTAAAGCAACATGCATAAATCAATAAAAGTTTGGTTGTGCTGCTGAGCAACGCGCCTTGAAAGAGAAACTAATTGTAGCTGTCTTGTGTGTCAACTCTCGAAGAGCATTTGCTTTAACACCACAAGAAGATGTAGACCCTTGCAATTTGTTCTCAGAACCCCAATCAAAACGATATGAAGTACTTTTGTTTGTGGGTCAATAGGATATAATCGCTTGCAATTTAAAAACTATTGAGAAATCCACAAATTTAGAGTTTTTATCGCAAGACTATATTCTCTCGATTTATAGGGTTTTATATTTGGATTCCATCAAGGAGAGCAGATTGTCTTATTGAGTAAAATATGTGAGATTTACTTTTTGTCATAGGTGGATAGGTTGTATTTTGATGTAATATAAAATAGCTTTAAAGTTGGTCACATGATTGATTGTAACGAATATTTGGACGGAATGCGATGAAAGCGACCCAACTGAAACGTGAGCCAAAAAATTAAAGACTAGATTGATTGATTTGAAAATTTGCAAACTCAAATGAAGACTTTTGAATTCAAAGCCCATTCATTATAAAAACTCACAAATCACTACAAAACAGAATGTCTTTAGCGAGGGCATTTTGTGGTCGGTAAAGACCTTTTCTAGTTGGAAATTCGCTTTTGCGACGACAAACTTCGGTCAAAGGTCGTCGGTAATTATTTGGTTGACAATCAGTGACCAAGCCAGGATTTCATGTGTGTGGGGGTCTCTCACGAAATATAAACAATAATAAATTCGAATTCACAAGACATACCAAAACATCAAAAATCATAGATTGCCTATTCATTACAATCATAATTGTCCTCGACAAATTTTCATATTTTGAAATCGTTGCATAACAACCAAACCCTAAATTGTCTTTCTCAATATATGCAACCAAACAATCATTCATCCATAAATCCCCCATTCAATTGCATAACTAATTCTTCACAATATTCATAGTATTCTCTCTACACATAAATTGAAAGACCCATAAAAAGAAATATAAAGAAAAAAAATCAAAATTTCACAGACTTAAAAAAACATAGGTGGGGAGAAAACAATAAAAACTAAAGGAAAGATTATAACACTTTAATTAAATGAATTAACCTAACTAGAACTTGATATAATATGGAGTTTATTAAGAGAAACTCACAAGGAATGAGAAAGAACCAAGGAAAGAGAAAAAGGGGTGAAAACCTCTTAGGTTTTAGGGATTTGTGTAAAAAAGTAATATAATAATAGTTATTGTTTTGTAAAGTTAGTGGAGACCAAGCCCACATAAAGAAAAAGTTGAGATACTATGTGGTTATTTCTCAGCCTCCTCTCTGTCATGTGTCTCCTCACTTTACTACTACGATGGCATGCAAACTTTCTTTTTTGAATTTTTACAATTTTTATGTTGTTTCATCCATGTTTGTTTAATTTATTTTTGGCTTATTATCACAAAACATCCTTGACGTTTGCGAAATTATCACATTGCATCCCTAATATGTTTGTAAATTTGATGTCTTTTTGCAGCTTCTGGAAAAAGGTTACATGAATATGCTTCTTCTGGAAATTATGGAGGAGCTGGGGAAGAAGAGAGTCTTCAGCAACTGAGCGTAAAAGCCGCCTCGCTATCTTTTTCTAATGTTTCAGCGAGGAAGAAGATGGTTAGTTCTATGTTTTATTATTTTTCATAAAAGTTATAGTTTTGATGAAGTTAAGGGAAAAGTTGAGATTTTGAGCTTGTAAATTGATATTATGCAGAAGCCAAATGGACCCAAGATTCGGCCTCCGAAGTCGTCTAAATCTTCTGAGCCTGTCGAAGAGGATATAGAGATTGAGATCGCTGAGGTTCTCGGGCTGATGAAGCAATCCAAGAGCTCCAAGGACCAGGATAATATCAAAAACTCTGGTTCGCAGTTGCAGAGCACAAGGACAAGAAAGTGGAGGCTGAGAGTGCTTTAATGGCAGTTCAGGACAGTTCGGTTTCTGAAGCTGGCGTCTTTGAAAAAAGTGACCAACCGGAAAAGATTGAAACTTGTTCGCCGAAATCAAACGGGGAACTGTGCAACCCGGTTCACCATACGGGTTGTGATGAAGGAGCATCTGGGTCCACCATAGAGTCGCAGAAGGAAGATGCCAAACCATTCATGGAAGAGGGAAAAAGCATCCTCCCAAAAGTGGAATTGTCTTGGGAAGATTTGACAGGGACAAAAGCGTGAGCATCAAAGAATCTTTTCTTTGTCTCTTTTTTATTTTGATTGATTGTGTCACTGAGAAATATCCAATTAATGATGCAGCCCAAAAAAAAAGAAAAAGAAATCTGATTAGTACTTCTCTGCAACTCTCTCCCTGCCCCATTCCACAGCCCACCAACCCAGCACTCTAGCCACCCAAGTCACCACCCCGAGAGAAGGAAAGAGGGAAAAAAAAGAGAAAAAAAAAAAAAAGAAAGAAGGAAAGAAGAACAAAAAAATGGGAGAGAAAGAAGAAACAGCGAAGGAAAAGAAGAAGAAAAGAGGAGGAAAGAGAGGAGAAAAAAAAAGAGAAACAGAGAGAGAGAAGGGAAGAAAAAAAAAATATAATTTTGGATTGATTTGACGATTATACCCCTAGATTTAACGGTGTTTTTGATAGAAGGACTATTTAAGAGTACATGTATTAACGTTAGGGACCTTTAATGATACAAAAAAACATTAAGGATGCAATGTGATATTTTCGCAAACGTCAGGGACGTTTTGTGATAATAAGCCTTTATTTTTTTTCGTACTGTAATTTGGAATGGTGCGGTTTTTATACCCCATCCTGTTATTTTATGGTGGTGTAATTTCATTACCCATCACGTTGTAACGCATATTATCGTAATAAAAATGATGGTGTGGTCTTAAAACCCATATTGTTATATCTTGAATAGTGGTGCAGTTGTATTGCCCACAATATATAATATATACTTCATATATATATTATGTGGTGGTTTTGTCAACGCATTTACTGCGTGTTTACAGTATGGTGTAGATTTATTACCCATACAATAGCATTTATTTAAAAGTGTGGCGCGGGTTTATTGTCCACACAACTGCCTTTAGCATTTACTTTATTTACTGTATGGAGTAGGTTTATTACCCATACGGCAGTATTTATTTAAAGTGTGGCGCGAGTTTATCGTCCACACAACTGCCTTTACTTTTTATTTAAAAGTATGGAGCAGAATTAGTGCCCATACCAGCACATTTACTTTATTGCACATATACTTTTATTTAAAGTATGGTGCGGAATTAACGCCCATACATCAAGTAATTTACTTTATGAATTTACTTTATCGCACATTTACTTATATTTAAAGTATGGTGCAAATTTACTTTATGAATTTACTTTATTGCACATTTACTTTTATTTAAAGTATGGTGCAGGTTTATCGTCCATACCAGCAAATTTATTATTAGCACTTTATTTTTATTATCAATTAATATACATGAATAATGAGGGCCTGAAGTTCCTCAAACAATTATAGGGCCTGAAGTTCCTATTAATAAATGGCTTAATGTCCCAGATCTCGAGTATGAAGTTTTGGGTCAAATATGCAAGATATTTTTGGCATGAAGTTCAAAAATATATTAAGCCTAAAGATTATTGCAAGTTCTAATGCATCCCATTGTTTTTTTTTTTTTTAAAGATGGCAAACTTGACAAAATTGGAATTTGCTGCCTTGGACATTTCTGGGGACAACTATCCATCATGAGTCCTGGATGCCAAGATCCATCTGCGAGCCAATGGCCTTGGAAAAACAATAGTAGATGGAAGTGACGCATCACCTGAAAAAAATATGAAGGCCATGATTTTTCTTCGCCGTCACATTCATGAAGCGCTGAAAAGCGAATATGTGGTGGTTGATGAACTGTTGGTTATGTGGAAAGCTCTATGTGAAAGATACAATCACTAGAAGACGGTAACCCTTCCAAGAGCCAGATACGAATGGACACACTTGAGGTTTCAAGATTTCAAGACAGTGTCTGAGTACAACTCAGTTATGCACAGAATCACCTCCCTGATGAAACTATGTGGTGAAAATATCTCTGAGGAGGATATGCTAGAAAAAAAGTCTGAGTACCTTTCATGCCTCAAATGTGCTCCTACAACAGCAATATAAGCATAGTGGTTTCACGAAGTACTCTGAACTTGTATCTTGCCTTCTGTTGGCTGAGCAGAATAATGAGCTTTTGTTGAAAAATCACCAATCTCGCCCAACGGGCTCAGCACCACTTCCTGAAGTAAATGCTGCATCTTAGGAAGTAAATGCCATCTCATCTCGTGACAGTATCCATAGACATGGGCGAGGAGGCAAGCGTGGCCGCTGGCAAGGGAGTAGAAAAGATCGTGGTGCCCATTCATATGGCTTGGGTCCAAGGAGCCATCCATCCACGAATGGCAAAAATGCATCCTGGAATAAGGGGAAGGCGCAGACAAGCCATATGCCTAGAAATGTTGAAAATGCTTGTCACAGATATGGTGCAAAGGGACATTGGGCGCGTACATGCCGTACGCCGAAGCATTTGGCGGATCTCTATCAAGCTTCACTTAAGAACAAGAAAGTGGAGACAAATTACATTGATCATGTTGTACCAGATTCGCCAGCCATAGATGGCCCATCGGAAATATCACGTCAATTAGACAAGACACATCTAGATGTTTCTGATTTTGTTATTGAAAGAGGGAATGAAGTTTATGGGTCCGAATTAGATTAAATTCCTTTATGTACCACTCGTATTATCTGAAGCATTGTTTTTAATCTTCATTTCAATCCAATGAAAGTGGCAATGTTTTTCTTTACATTGAATAATTGTTTATTGATTCAGCTTATTTTATTTATTTGAAGGCATGGATATAAATTACGGATGCCCCCAAAACAAGAGTTCTAGCAAAGATATTTGTCTCGCAGACAGTGCGACTACTCATACGATCCTTCGAGATCGAAA